ACTGTCAACTGTGTCTGTCGCTGCCTGACTTATTAAAATTAGCCCCTTCTAACACGCCTAACTGAGTAGGATCCCCCCCCACATAATCATGATCACGGAAGCAGATCCACCTTCCGAAACACCGTGTACTCGTACGTTACAGACGATCGAAAATGTCCGAACTAATTTTATATAGGGCCGTGCCATAGCTGAAGCGGTTAGTCTCTGGCTTCCCACCGCGGCTACCCGGGTCTCGTCAAGTGGGATTTGTGGTGGACAAAGTGGCGCTGAGGCAGGTTTTCTCCGAGTACTTCGGTTTCCCCTGCCAATCTTCATTCCACCAATTGCTCCACAATCACCCTCACCTATCATCTGGGGCTGGTACAGAAGTGGCCGCAGTACAAGGGACTTAGTCCCACACCACTGGCAATAACAAATTATATAAATTATAAATAGCAAACGTGCATTTGTTCTCTCTCCAAACCAGTATTTCACATATTCAAACCCTAGCCAAGTCACTTAACAAGTGACACAGTATTTAATCTGATTCTGGCACACCAGGCCAACAATGTCTAATTTAGTGACAGTGGAGCCTTCCACTTTCATCTTAGCAACAATGTATTTCGCTGGATTGAACACCCCGTGTCTGATGACTGCAGATGTGGCAGCGGGTCGATTTCTTATAATGTCCTAGTGCACATTTCTCACAGAAGCGTCGGCACTTTGTCACAATGGGGTCCTTGAAAGTATTCTGGCATATGAAGCACTTGAAAGGGAGATCATCACTATCTGAGTCACCTTCAGATTTGTCTGTATCACCATACGTTCCTTGCTGCACTTCCCGTTCCAACTGCCACCCAAACTTGTAGTCAGAACGGTCATGCAAGAGCTTACAGCTATCTCCAAAGCCAAAAAAAAAAAACCATTTACTTGTAGTCTTTACAAATGTCAGGTTGCCAGTCCCACCGCACTGTAGTTCGAAGGGTGGCTCGAGCCAGGATAGGACCTTTCCGAACAATTCCACCGAAGCACTTCCCTGAGCAATGTCCCGTTTCTCATAATACTGGGATTAGTTGTTCAATCCACGGCAAACTTTTATCATCTTTTCCCTTCAGCTCCTTATTTAAGGCATTCTCAGATACAGCTTGTGCATCCCTCTCTACTCCTGTCCCCATCTGCAGCCCTTCCCTACCTCTAGCTCGTTTAGACAATCTGCTGCTTCCTGATGGACAGAAATTCATTCACGATCACCAAGATCCCGGGTTTCGGCACCAAAAAATTTCGTGAAATATGCAGTGTTTTATACACAAGACGTTCCCTAACAACAAACCTTCATTCAACAATACGTTCCCTGGCAGCGAACCTTTATTCAACAATACGTTCCCTGGCAACGAACCTTCATATAACAATACGTTCCCTGGCAACGAACCTTTATTCAACAATACGTTCCCAGGCAACGAACCTTCATACACCAATATGTTCCCTGCCAACGGACCTTCATACACCAATATGTTCCCAGCCAACGAACCTTCATACAACAATACGTTCCCAGCCAACGAACCTTCATACAACAAGACGTTCCCAGGCAACGAACCTTCAATGAAGGTTATCCAGTTTCATGGGTAACGTCGTCACTGCCCGGCAAATAACACGCAACGAGCAGCAGAGCAAACGCTGTGCAGTCATGGATCATAAATCAAGGAATTAAAGGGGAAAGATGTCTCAATTCCTCACAGCAGGTGCTGCAATCACATATGTCGGGATAATACTTCTTGGCTTTGTGCCGCATTTCACTACGTTCTCTCATTCCACGTGTGCCAAAAGGAATCATCACTGTACTTTCCAAGATATCACATATGATGAGGATATACTAACAGCCAGGAAATGTACAGTACCGGAAGCGTCCTTGCCGATGTGTAAACACGCCGGATCTGACAGTCTGCAGGACTGGAAGTCCAAGACTCTGGCATTTACATCTCAGTATCTCCCTCTATGGAAATATTTATGTAATAAATGTCAGTAATTTCAAACTTAAAGATTTGTGTCAATTTCAATTCCAACTAAACTATCATATTATTTGGGCGTTAACTTCCCATAACCAGTACTGATTCAATTCTGAAATATAATGCTGTGTATTCCGTTGAAAGTAAATCTTTGTGTCAGAAGAGCGTTTCTTCACGTCTTCAGGATCAACGAATTAGCCAGTATGGAGATGGCAGCGAGCAGAAACCTGGGGATTACGTAGGAAAAAGTTTGAAACCACAAGGCAACTCATTATTGCCTATCTCTGTTCCGTAGACAAACCCCAGTTTTCCTCAGGCAGACAGCTCTGTTTGCTACTTGCTTCATGGTTTCTTACTTGGACTATTCTTTCACGCTGAAGATCGAGGCGACACATTCTTCTGAAACTTCCGTTGACTTTCAACGGACTACATTGTGATATATCCCGGAAAAGTAACTCTCCAGAAGTACAGCTCTGAACACCCCAAATCCTACGCAATGTTCTGTTATGTTTACCAGTTTAGTTTTCACTGCAGATGTATTCTACTTAATCGTGTGACGGTTTTAAGGAGAAGAAATCAAGAGGTAAAACGTATATGTCCAGTTTACACAGAAGTTACGCACCTCGCCAACAGATTTCATTCTATCTCCAGCAATGGGATTTTGTATTAAAAAAAAAAAAGATTGCTCCAATGAACAAAAATATGTAAGGAATTCTTTAAGTGGGCATGATGACAAAGAACACGTGATCATAAGGATCTAGTAATTGGTTCCATCCCCTACCTATTTTATTTTATACACAAAGACGGTAGAAAAACATGGTCATTAACAGTTATCACTTATAGTTTTCTTCTTCTTCTTCTTCCATTCTGGTAGTTTGAAAGGAGTCTTAAAGTGAAATATTATCCCAGTCAGTCATTCGATAATTATATTATATTAATCTTGTCCATAGGTTACTGTTTATATATTAGGATATTATTAATGAAATACACATAAAAGTTGGTTGGTTCAATGTGATTTCAGTTGCATATTTTATTTTTCTAAGAATATAGTCAGTTTCGCTCATCCTTTTTTTCCTTTTCTTTGTAATGTTTAATGCCAAACAGAAATTAAGTCACCTTCTGTGTGTTTCTTCCATTAATATGTATAAGTGTGTTTTCATTTACGTTTTGGGAAGGAAATGATTGGGTGGGTGTACAATACTTGGTTACTATACCAGTTATGGAAGATGAAAGTGTTTGGTTATTTCAGTAAATTTCTGTTTACTTGCTGTCTGACTATACGCCACGCATGTGTTGGAACAATTCGCGTTATTCTGAATATCATCTTTCTAAAGGGTTCAATTTTTAGTTCATATGAACCATCAGCAATGATCATTTTACCCATTTTCATTTCCGAAACAGCCACTTTTACGCAAAATTATCTCACTACTATATTTCTGTCTCTTTGAAACAAAAAAAATTGCTTCTAATTTGCGAAATCAATTTCTTATTTATTAAAATGTTCATTAAAATATTCCAAGACAGAATACTGTATTCACAACTGGTTGCAAATTCACCTTCGCTATGATGGTTGACGTTGAAATTTTATATCACCAGACATGTGTATGCACCTTAAAACCATGTACATAGATTTAAAAGATTCAGTAATTGCACAGATGACAAGAAAGATTGAAGACAGTTCTTCCAGACAAGGGGAAAGGTAAATACAGCTTTCCCTTGCGGCAGAGTACCACTTATTTGTCTATGGACAACCAATGACATCGGCGAGGAAGTTTTCCAAACTGCTGCATTAATTGGAGGTGGCTATACAAGTAGGTTCATGTTGGATGACCCCTCAGATGTTCATGACTACCCCAGAGGAACAAGGATTTTTATCACTATAAAAATCACTTAATTATTTCGTTAGATAAATAACAATCCTTAGACTAGTAAAGGCTCTGAATTATAGTTCAGAGCTTGGTGGAATGAAAGAAGTATTGGCTCCAGTGGAGTTCATTTGTGACTATCAGCGGTGAGGGCTACTTGGGACCACCACGATGACCATTAACACACTTTGATGTCGAGATGTAGTTGTTGTGATGGTAGTTGTCAACATCCTTCTCTAAGATGTGATCGAAGTGGCCATTATGAATGGGGTGACACCTGGCTCGGCACACTTCACCGTTGACACAGGAGAAGCCATTGGCAGTGGACTGGTCACGGCTGTTGCCTCTGTGACCAGACCGGGTGGAGCGCCGTCCACCACTGGCGGTAGCAGCAGGCCCTGCTCCTACCTTGGCCTCCGTCCCCGCGGGTCCCCCGGTGGGCAGGAAGAACACACTGGGCGCTGGGCTGGAGGCGAGGAGCTCTAGCTACAGTTCCGTCACGGGTATCGGCTTGAGGGTCTGTTGCTGAGCAGCGCGCACGATGTAGTCCTCGTCCGAGAACGTCTTCTGATACTCGTGCTCCTTGCGGCTGATGGCACGGTTATTCCACTTGTAGTCTTTGAGTGCATCTTGCAGGCGGCGCCGGTAGCGGTAAAGCAGGATTCCTAGCAGTGCCACGAGGGCCACTCCGGTGCCACAAAGCGCACCGATAATTGCTTGTTGCCGGGTGTCATGCAGGGCACAACCCAACTCGTCTGCTGATAATGATTTGAGTGGGCGATCTTTTAGGTGTTTAGGTGCCGCACATAAGACTTGGCTAGCATTTCGCCGAGACAGAAGATCACGAAGCCACAGAAGTGAGCATCTGCATTCCAGAGGATTTTCTGCCAGGTCTAGTTTCCGCAGCTCAGGCCATGTGGCCAGTGGTTCAGAAAACGTGGTGAATGCATTATCCCGAAGCACTAGGTGCCGGAGGTTTGGCAGGCCTGCAAGAGCACCCTCTTCAACAGATGACAGTTTTTTGTTACTGCTTAGGATGAGTGCCTCCAAGTTCAAATTATCGGCAAGGGCACCCTTCTCAACACGTTCGAGTTGCTGGGCCCCAGATACATCAAGTCGCTTCAATTTCTCCAAGCCTTGAAATGCGTGAGCCTCCAAAGTAGTGAACTCATTCTGCCCAACACTAAGTTCCTCCAGCCGAGGGAGTGTGGCGAGCTGACGCGTGGGGATGACTCGTAGACAGTTATCATGCAGTCCGAGGCTCCTCAGAACAGACAGTCCTCTAAACGCATTCTCGCTAATGTTCTGTAAGCTAGCTCCACTTACATCCAAATTTGTTAGGCGATTTAACCCACGGAAAGCGTCATCTGGCAGCGTTGTGAATGCGTTTAGGCCCACTTTTAACTCGGCCAGGTTGCTGAGTTCAACGAATGAAGACGTTGGAACGGCACGAAGTTGATTATCATCAAGATATAACACTCTGAGAGCTGTCAGGCCGGCGAATGCTGCTGGATCAACCCGGGATATTCGGTTCTGACCAAGATCCAGTTCTTCCAACTGTGGGAGGAGGCTGAACAGACGCTCTGGGAGTTCCTCTAGGTAGTTTCCCCTAAGGCTGAGTACAGTGAGGGCTCTCAACCCCACAAAAGTCCTATTATTCACTGAAGAAATTTTGTTATGGTTGAGATGGAGCTCAACCAGCTTCCTCTGAGCTTCAAAACTTCTTGTGGGAATGCTCACCAGGTGATTGTATGACAAATCTACGTATTTCAGCTCACCGTAAAACTGGAACGCAGCATCCACTGTCTTAATACGGTTGTACTTAAGCACCAGCCGCTGGATGGAGGGGTTCAGTGTGATTGGGATTACGTCTAGGTTCGCCTCAATACATGTCACCACCAACGTGTCATCGTCACAGGTGCAGCCGGTGGGGCAGAAAGCTAGCGCCCTAGCGGCTGAGGCGAGCAGAGCCGCCAAGCATATGAGGAGGAGAAGGGGTGGCGAGGGAGTAGCCATCCTGCTAGCGGAACAGCATCGCGGCATCAGTGGCAGGGCAATCTGCAATGAGCAAACAAACACATAACTGAAATATGTTGACACAATTTTCCAAAAATACTTGGGATGCTAGCAACCATTTGAATTTAGAGGAAATCACACTCAGTGACTTAAGAGAGAGAGGTTGAAGGAACAAACGGATTAAGTTATCTCTTATGTAAGATTTGAGGCTTTCACGGCGGTGACTATGAAGAAAGCAGTCTTCTAAGTTATCTCTTATTAATACCACGCCATTAAAACGTACAGGAGATTGGAGGCAAAACTTCACGCATTCTTAACGTCGGCACTGTACGGCAATCAGTCGTTTTCAATCTTAGGCCGCTTTATCCTCGGTCCCTAGAACGGCTATCCAATCTGTCCCACACTCTCGAAACGTCTAGTCTCATGGCATGAACTTCTGTGGGTGTTGGTCAGGCAGTTCTTCGAGCACGACATTAAACCAGCTAACAATGAAATAATCACTTCCTACTGCGGAGAAAACACAACGTGTTAAACGAAAAAGAAATTTTTATATTTACAGAAACTTATGAAGATTCCGAAATGTTAATTCAAGTGGTACAGCAACGAGTTAAGTTGCGTCTAGATTCTGAAACGAATGTAAGTGACGTGTGGTAAAATGAAGATAAAGTTATCATGAAACAGGCATGCATAAAACATTCTTCTGCACTTCCATAAATTCACGAAAACGAAGTTAGGTAAAACAGGGCGGGGGGGGGACACGAATGAGTTCTCATAAATATTTAAAAAGCAGAGCCACCTAGGAAAGCCTCGCAACTACAGCTGAGTTTGTGTACGGTCCGCTTTATTTCATCTGCATACAGCAGACGCGGCGTCTCCGTTCTGGCTTCATTTCGGGACACGAGCAACACCCGATTTAAACAGCGAAAATTACAGCTGCACAAATTTGCGAATTTACGGGAACGCCTATCCGTTGCTATAGGTAAAAAGGTAAAGTTGTCCCTGTGCTCTACGAATTAAACACTAGGCTACGAAGGCGTATAGGGGAGTGGATGTACAGGTCCACATTTTCTTGACCTCGACACGCCGGAGGTGAGTGGTCAGCTACAAACCCCTGCCACTTTACTCCCCGGTACCCGTTGGACAGGAGCTTGGGTGGACCCCAGAGCCGGTCTGGTCGATTTGGAGAGGAGAAAACGCTTGACCTTTCCGGGACTCGAACTCCGACACCTCAGTCGTTCAGCCTGTAGCCAGTCGCTATGCCGACTACGCCTATCCGTTGCTATGGAGACGACTATAGTTTCACAACGTCATTGACTGCACACAACATGAACTAACCCTTTAAATACTGAAAATAAGTTAGCTCGTTTAGAAACAAAATGTCTTGTTATTTAGCAGGGAAGTTAAATGAAGCCATCGCGTTTACGCTGTTCGGGCTGGCGAGGAATTGTTGTTTACAGGAAATAATTATCATTGACACTTTTACACAATACTGCCACAAACTCTAACGTACAACTTGAGAATTTTCGCTACTACGAACTTGCGTTCGTAAGTTATGCGACTTTTACATGTAAAGTATACCGAAATTTAATTTCCGATTTATGAATATTCACCTTATGAACAATTTTCATGGCACGAATTACCTTCGCAAGCCGATGGATACCTATATTTGTTTTCTGTCCAGCATTCAAACAGTGAACCTAACAAACACAGATTTGGGGGCACGCGGTAGCGTAGCTGTTTTGGGCACTATGCCAGAAGCCGGAAGGTCGCAGGTTCGATTCCCGATGAGGTCACTGGATTTTTCAATTGACCTGATCCTTTCAGCCGCACTATGACCCTGCGGTCGACTCAGCCTCTAAGAGAAACGTGTAACAAGATTTTTTCCTGGGGGTAAAAGACAGCCGGTGCATACGACCGACAACCTCACCGTCATCTATGATCCGACTGTCTAGAAAATGTGGGAGCCTCGACGTCTCAAACCCCTATGGGCCTCCACGGCCTGTTACAGGGATAGCTTTTTACTCTCTACACAAAAGTGGTTAAATCCTTTGAAGTCTATATGCCTTCCTATTGCCCAGAGCTTGCGACTCCCCCTGAATAATGAGCAAAAAGGCGTTCTAAATATTAAAATAAATTTCTGGGGGAAATGAGAAGTGTCTTCTTGGAGACAAGGCCCACGTTTTAAATACTATATAGATCAGTGTTGTCCTTTAAAGGGTTAAAGGAATATTTCTAACACAGTAAATAGGACATGTCAGTTCTCCGTAACTGCTGTTAACCAGACATGTCAGTTCTCCGTAACTGCTGTTAACCAGACATGTCAGTTCTCCGTAACTGCTGTTAACCAGACATGTCAGTTCTCCGTAACTGCTGTTAACCAGACATGTCAGTTCTCCGTAACTGCTGTTAACCAGACATGTCAGTTCTCCGTAACTGCTGTTAACCAGACATGTCAGTTCTCCGTAACTGCTGTTAACCAGACATGTCAGTTCTCCGTAACTGCTGTTAACCAGACATGTCAGTTCTCCGTAACTGCTGTTAACCAGACATGTCAGTTTTCCGTAACTGCTGTTAACCAGACATGTCAGTTTTCCGTAACTGCTGTTAACCAGACATGTCAGTTTTCCGTAACTGCTGTTAACCAGACATGTCAGTTTTCCGTAACTGCTGTTAACCAGACATGTCAGTTTTCCGTAACTGCTGTTAACCAGACATGTCAGTTTTCCGTAACTGCTGTTAACCAGACATGTCAGTTTTCCGTAACTGCTGTTAACCAGACATGTCAGTTTTCCGTAACTGCTGTTAACCAGACATGTCAGTTTTCCGTAACTGCTGTTAACCAGACATGTCAGTTTTCCGTAACTGCTGTTAACCAGACATGTCAGTTTTCCGTAACTGCTGTTAACCAGACATGTCAGTTTTCCGTAACTGCTGTTAACCAGACATGTCAGTTTTCCGTAACTGCTGTTAACCAGACATGTCAGTTTTCCGTAACTGCTGTTAACCAGACATGTCAGTTTTCCGTAACTGCTGTTAACCAGACATGTCAGTTTTCCGTAACTGCTGTTAACCAGACATGTCAGTTTTCCGTAACTGCTGTTAACCAGACATGTCAGTTTTCCGTAACTGCTGTTAACCAGACATGTCAGTTTTCCGTAACTGCTGTTAACCAGACATGTCAGTTTTCCGTAACTGCTGTTAACCAGACATGTCAGTTTTCCGAAACCGCTGTTAACCAGACATGTCAGTTTTCCTAACTGCTGTTACCCAGACATGTCAGTTTTCCGTAATTGCTCCTAACCAGACATGTCAGTTTTCCGTAACTGCTGTTAACCAGACATGTGTCTGTTCTCGAAAGAAGACAGAATAATCAGCCTAGCTATAGGGTGCATAAAAATGACTCAGCTCCAGAATATTCAATTAGCGGCAGTGCATGATGAGTACCAAAGAAGCACGCAATATACAATTTAAAATCAAAGATTCAGGATGGGAGCATGACACAACCTGTAATCTTGTACTGTATTTCCTATGCAGAAAATGGATGAGATTAAACCCGAGCTACATTTTAGGGAATTTTTAAGAAAGTACTGCATATAGTTTAAGAGGATCAATAAATCGAGGTATATTACAACGATTTTTCTCGCAGACACGCAGAGTTTTATCTCGACAGGTCGATCGCAGGAATAACCCCATTCGTGCCTCATGTAGAGCCTATTGCGTGAGTTGAGGCTATTTACGCCTTGTTGCATACAAATACTAACAGAGAAGGGACCCAGCACGTTGGTTCAACCGGTAACGCTTTTGACTTGAATTCTGGAGGTGCGCAGCTCGAATATCTGTCGAAACGGCGATTGTCCTGAGGATTTCGTGGTTTTATTCAGGCCCTTGACGGAAATTCTGGGGGACAGTACCTTAAATGAAGTCGCAACAGCTTCCTTTCGCATCCCTTCAAATTCATTATTCAGTGACATCCAATAATTCGAAGCTTGCAGCGTTGTAGCTGACGGTATCGTTTGATTGGCTATTCTATAGCAGCACGGGCCTTCCCGAGGTGGGGAAAAATGAGGAAAACGGGCAGCTTACATCTGACACAACACAACACAACACACATAATACTTTGTTAGTAGCAAGATTAACAGCATGAAGCAGGTAAATTTTCAGATGGGTTGCAGAACTAGACTTTGCACATAGTTCCAGCATAATGGGCATAAGTCTTATTGGGAACATTCTCACAACTTTCATACTTTTCAATACATTATTTCCGAATCCTGAAATATACATACAACACATAACACAAAACACACATAACATAAGAAAACACGAACATACAATACAACACCAGCGGGTTCTTTGCTCAGGAATTTTGCAAACTAAAGAGTACTGAAGAAGCGAAACACACTTCTCATACCACACAAAGTTTCTAAAGCTGTCCTCTGCTTCATCAATTAAGCAATACGACATGAAGACGTATGAGGTGGTGGACAAATACCTCCATTATTTCTGTCTTATACATCTTTAATAATCTCCAGGGGGTGCCTAGCTTATTTAACAGTTTTCCTTTTAGCTCCAGCTAGGCCGTTACATGTTATTTGTTTTGTGGTTATTACTGACCTGTATACAGCCTGTTTTGCCGGTCACGGTAGCCGAGCGCTCTAAGGCATGTACTGTCTTCCCTCGCTCTAAAGCCGGGATCGTGGGTTCGAATCACACTCAGGGCATGGATGTTTGTGTGCGTTTTTGTGTGTTTGTGTACAGGTAGAGGCCTTGCGACGAGTTGATCACTCGCCCAAGGAGTCCTACCGTATGTGTAAGATCTAGAAAAACCGAAGTAAAGTTCATGGAGGTAGGCCTAGGCCCACTGGGGCTGTAGTGCCAAGGGGGGGATACAGCCTGTTTTATTTAAATTTGTTAGTAGAAGTTTTTTCTGTTTCTGTTAAGGTTTTTACAAAGCGTTAGATCACTTACAGTCCGAGAACTTTATGCTGGAAGCTGAAGAGTTCTGACGGTTGTGTCTAATACTCAGAATTACTTGAGTTTGTAGC